GGAGAGGGAGAGGGAGAGAGAGAGAGAGAGAGAGAGAGAGAGAGAGGGCTGTGCCCTGCAAATGAACAGGGAGATCTTAGAATACTGAATTGCATCCTAGATAAAAGATGCTTTACCACCAAAGGCTTTTGTCCAAAGCACATCAGAACTTGCCTGAGGGGCTCTCTTCCTTTCAGGATGGGGGTAATTGTGGCCTACAGAGCTCATCTAAAGCCTGTATCATAAAAACCTTGCTCACAGATGTTAAATGCAATTTCTTCCGGCACCAATCAGGGCAATTAAATCAACAGACTGTCTAGGGGTTTCACACAGAGAAGATATAGCCAAATGCTGGAGATCTTTGAAAAGCAATGCAGCACATTATTTCCCCTGGGACAGCGAATGCCGAGCCACGAATTCATCAGCACTCCGCACACAGACACTGACAGGTTCCCGTTAGAGGAAGAGGGATTTCTTCCTTGTTCTGGGTGAGAACAGGAAAAGCTACTGACGTCCAGGCCCTTCCTCAGTGCCGGGCACTGCTCCGCAGGCTACTGGTGTATTATCTCACTTGACCCAAGTCACAACCTAGTAAGAAATAGCTAGGGTACCAGTGTACCACTTAGGGTACCAGAGATCACCAATCACCCAGACCCTTTAAAATACATTTTAGCAAAGAGGAGGCAGAGGTGCGAAAGAAAAAAAGGAAGGGTGGGGGGAGACAAGAGAAAATAATAATTTTAGCTCCCTTTTCAGTACATGAATACCATTAGAATTCAATTTTGCATGGAACAAAAAACCCAAATAACAATAACATACAGAAGGAAGGGTTTCTTGGTTTTTTCGTTTTGGGGTTTTTTTTTGAGGGGGGAGTGCCATCTACCTGCACAGTAGTGGGCAGTTCTTTGGTGCTGGGCAACTCAGTTATCAGGGCCTTTCAACTCTCCACTATTTTTTCATCTTGGCTTCCATCTTCAAGGTTTCCTCACGACCACAGAATGGCTGCTGTAGCTCCAGTCATATCCATGCTCCAGGCAATATGAAGAGGGAAGGAACTAGGGCAAATGAAAAAAATAAAAATAAAAAATGAAAACGTCTTGTCGGGTGTAGTGGCACATGGCTGTAATCCCAGCACTCAGGAGGCTGAGGCAGGAGGATCTCCAGGAGTCTGAAGCCAGCCTGGGCTACATAATGAGTTCAGTCAGCCTGAAGTACAAAGTTAAGACCCTGTGTCAAAAGAAAAGAATTTTAAATTAAAAAGGGTTTGTGGCCAGGTGTGGTGGTGCATGCCTGTAATCCCAGCACTAGGGAGGCTGAGGCAGGAGGATCGCAGTGAGTTCAAGACCAGCCTGGGATACAGAGTGAGTTCCAGGTCAGTCTCAACTACATAGTGAGACCCTGTCTCAAAAAAACAAAAGTTGGGGGGGGGGGCTTGGGGATGTAGCTCAGTGTGAAGGCCCTGGGTTCAATCCCCATTACTGAAAGAAAATTAAAGGAAAAGGAAATGTAGACTTACAGCTAAGTACACTTTCATCTTCAAGAAATGTGAGGACCAGATTCTGTTAGAATTAGAGAGGATGGGTACTCGGTGTAGTAGGTATCCATGCCACACACACAAACGTGTATTTCCCTCCTATTTGTTGACTGCATGGGAATTCTAGATGCGCCCCCTTGTCCTTATCCTTCAGTGCCTACAGACTGTCTTCCAGTTGCCAAAACTGGGGGCTTTTGAGTGTGTGTCTGTAGGTACTGGATACTAAAACCAGGGCCTTCACGCTGAACTACATTTTGAGACAAGGCCTTGGCGATTTGCCCAGGCTGAGCTCAAGCTTTTGATCCTCCTGCCTCAGCTTCCCTGGGTGCTGAGATGACAGGCGTGACCACAATGCCTGACTTCAGTCCTGTTCGCCACTGCGCTTTGCTCCGCCACGTTCAGTTCGAGGAATGAACGCCCCGGAGAGGAGCTCTCAACTAATAACTGACAAACGCTGATGAATAAACATCCCAGCACTCTCCTCTTCTTGGGGCCCCTCTGAAGCATGAACCTTGCACTGTCTCCCAGAGAGCAAAATTAAACTTCAGCTGCCACTGCGTGCATCGGCTTGGAATATCCCTCCCCTCCTATCCCCTCCCCTCTGTTGGTGTTTCCAGTGTAGTCCCTGCTCCCGTCTACCAAGTGATGGAGAGACAACACTTCCGGCCCCTTGGGAGGATCACATGACCTGTCCTGACCAATGACTTTCAAGAGAAAGCGTCGTCTATCCCTCCCAGGTGCAAACATTTAATTACCAATCAGATTCGTCTTCCTGTTAATTTTGACTTCCAACAGAACTGAATCGTTGCAACAGAAACATATGGCTCATAATTCCAATAATATTTACCATCTGGCCCTGTCAGAAAATGTACACCAGTCCCTATTTAAACCACCAGGAAGGGGTGGGAATTTCACTCACTGGTTTCACTGCCTATCGGCCTCGCTAGCGCAAGAACCCAAGATCCCCAGCACAAAGAAAAAAAAAAAAAAAAACAGGAAAC